CTGGGAAGTGTAGTGCCCCCGCCATTGCTGTCACACAAAGGCCTGTGTGTCACCCGCACCCTGCTCTTAGGGGGTCAGGACAGCCTGGTCAGGCTGCATGGCCACCTCCCCTGCCCTCCGGACCAGCACCAGACTGGCTGCCTGTGCCCTCGTCCCAGCAAAAAGGACTGGTCGGAGCTGGGCTGGGCGGGAGGGTCTTGTGGCCTCCGGAGGCTAAGACAGGCTTAGGCTGGGCCTCTCCTCAGGGACATGGTCCAGGGGCTCCGGCCCTAGTGCCATGGCCAGCCCGCAGGAATGTGTACTGTGCTGGGTGGCTTGGGGCAGCCAGGGGCTCCCCGGGAGAGGGCGGAGGGGTGGGGACAGCAGCCAGAGGGTTGCACAAGCTCGGAGTGGGCGGATGAGTCACAGGCAGGGGGGTGAAAGGGAGGAGGGAAAGGGGGGAAAGGGGCGGGATAGAGAGACAGGCCCCTAGGGCCCAACCCTGCTAAAGGCCTCTGCCCATTTGACAGATGGGGACACTGAGGCTCAGAGTGCACCAGGGCTTTGCCCAGCAGAGCAGCATAGCCAGGGGGTCCGAGAGTTGGGAAGGGACTGCCAGGTCCCTCCTCTTTTGGGGAGCCAGGAGACTGGCAAGCAGCTTGCGTCCCAATTCCTCGCATGCTATTCATAGACTCAAGCGCACTAGGGGCTTTGTAAATGTTACCATTAGGTGTCTTGGAGAAGGTGTTGGCCAGGTGTGAGCAAGTAGAGTAATGAAAAAAACCCCAGTGAACTTGAGATGTCAGGGCACGTTTACTGAGCACCTACTGGGTGCTTATGGAGCACCTCCAAGCCCACAGGCGTTCCTGCTGCGCCCTCTAGTGGTGGGGAGGGTGTCTGCGCTCTTTCATCAAGCCCCCACTGTGGACTTCGTGTACTTTATCTACAGAACCCCGCCCTTCCAAAGGCTTCCGCCCATTTCACAGACTGTCAGACAGAGGCCTAGAGAGCCCCATCACAGCGGTGGATGGTGCAGACCTGGGGAAACCCAAACCAGAGGCGGGGCGGGGCGGGGTGGGGCAGAGCAGCGGGTGGGTGCCCTGTCCTTACCACAGGCCCCGTCCTTTTCCGGCACTGCAGGTCTCGGCGCGGAAAATGGCCGGCGGCGTGGACGGCCCCATCGGGATCCCGTTCCCCGACCACAGCAGCGACATCCTGAGCGGGCTGAACGAGCAGCGGACACAGGGCCTGCTGTGTGACGTGGTGATCCTGGTGGAGGGTCGAGAGTTCCCCACGCACCGCTCAGTGCTGGCGGCCTGCAGCCAGTACTTTAAGAAGCTGTTTACGTCGGGCGCCGTAGTAGACCAGCAGAACGTGTACGAGATCGACTTTGTCAGCGCTGAAGCACTCACCGCCCTGGTGGACTTCGCCTACACGGCTACGCTCACCGTCAGCACGGCCAACGTGGGTGATATCCTCAGTGCTGCCCGCCTGCTCGAGATCCCTGCCGTCAGCCACGTCTGCGCCGACCTCCTCGACCGACAGATCCTAGCCACGGATGCCAGCACCGACGCCGGGCAGCTGGACCTCGTAGATCAAATTGATCAACGCAACCTCCTGCGTGCCAAGGAGTACCTTGAGTTCTTCCAGAGCAACCCTATCAACAACCTGCCCCCCGCTGCCGCCGCCGCTGCCGCCGCCTTCCCCTGGTCAGCCTTCGGTGCCTCCGACGATGACCTGGACGCCACCAAGGAGGCCGTGGCTGCTGTGGCGGCTGCTGTGGCCGCCGGCGACTGCAATGGCTTGGACTTCTATGGACCAGGCCCCCCGGGCGAGCGGCCCCCAGCGGGCGAGGGAGACGAGGGTGACAGCAACCCGGGCCTGTGGCCGGAGCGGGATGAGGATGCTGCGGCCGCCACCACTGGTGGCCTGTTCCCTCCTCCGACAGCCACACAGAATGGCCACTATGGCCGGGCCGGGGAAGAGGAGGCAGCCTCGCTGTCGGAGGCAGCCCCCGATCCAGGCGACTCTCCGGGCTTCCTGTCGGGCACTGCCGAGGGCGAGGACGGTGATGGGCCGGACGTGGACGGCCTGGCGGCCAGCACGTTGCTGCAGCAGATGATGTCATCGGTGGGCCGGGCAGGGACCACGGCAGCGGGGACAGCGGACAGCGATGAGGAGTCGCGGGCAGAGGACAAGGGCGTCATGGACTACTACCTGAAGTACTTCAGTAGCGCCCATGACGGCGACGTGTACCCGGCCTGGTCCCAGAAGGTGGAGAAGAAGATCCGGGCCAAGGCCTTCCAGAAGTGCCCCATCTGTGAGAAGGTCATTCAGGGCGCTGGTAAGCTGCCACGGCACATCCGGACCCACACAGGGGAAAAGCCCTACGAGTGCAGCATCTGCAAGGTCCGCTTCACCAGGTAAGACAGGCGTGCTGACGTGGGGTGGGCGGGGCTAAGGAACTGTGGGTGGGGCTGAGACGAGACTCCGACTCATAGTGACGCTCTGCACAACAGATAGAAACACTGGCCAGTCCCCCCACCATCCTTTCAATCCTTGGCATGTTTGAGCTCACTGTTGAAGCTACTGCGTCAGTCCGTCTCTTTGAGGGTCTTCCTCTTTTTCTCTGACTCTACCAAACATGATGTCCCTCCTGATAGTATACCATCCTCGCTTTTAAGAAGTATTCTGGCTGTGCTATTGCTCAGATTCATTGGGTTTTTTATGGCAGTCCATGGTATTTTCAATCTTCTTTGCCAGCACCATCATTTAAAGGAATCACATCTATCAACTTTATCATTGCCCAGCTTGAGCGTGCATTTGCGGTGATTGAAAATGCCATGGCTGAGAGGTGGGTGGGGCCAATTGTGGTGGGCGGGGCCGAGAGTGGCCCAGCTTACAAGAACTCCTAATGCAAACTCTCAGCCACACCTGAATCTCCTCCTTTCCCTAACACTGACCTGGAATTACCCAGGTGGTCCTTGAGCTTGATCTAGACAGCTGCCTGCCCTCATGATTCTCTGGTGGGGGCAAAGTGTAGACTTAAGCAAGTTTTCCACAGTTGCTGTTGAGTGTATTTGGACTCCAGTCTTTGACTTCTAACTGAAAGATTGGAGGTTTGAGTCCACCCAGAGACACCTGGGAAGAAGGGCACTGAAAACCTTGTGGAGCACAGTTCTACTCTGACACACACGGGGGCGCCATAAGTTAGTTGTCTTGATGGCAGCTGATTCTGTGCCTGCTAAAGTTTGGCCCTAGGAATATGCTGCGTTCAGCTAACATTTATTGAGTGCCGACTGTGTGTCAGACCCTGCTGGGATCCAGACAGGCCAAATCCCCACCTTCCTGAGGCCAACACTCCACAGGTGGGTGGTAGATTGATTGCACACCAGGTTGTTGCTGTTGTTATTGTTAAGTGCTGTCGAGTCAAGTCGGTTCCGACTCTTAGCAACTCTACATAGGGTTTCCAAGGAACAGCTAGTGAGCTTGAGCCGCTAACTTTGTGGTTCAAACTGACCTTGCAGTCCAGCACATTAACCCACAGTGCCATGCTAGGACTCCACACATCAGATTGTTGGTAAATACTGTGGAGTCGGTTCGGACTCATCGTGACCCTACACAGGATTTCCGAGGCTGTAAATCTTTATGGGAGCAGAACGCCTCATCTTTCTCCTGCGGAACCGCTGGTAGTTTCGAACTGCTGACCTTGAAGTTGGCAGACTTGTAACCCCTGAGCTACCAGAGGGTTTGTAATTCTAGTTTCTCTGGAGGGATATGGAGCAGGAACAGGGCTGAGGTGGAAGCCTGCAGAGGTGATATTTGAGCAGGACATGGGGGAAGCGTGGGGAAGAATGTTCTGGGAAGAGGGGAATGGTGCAGAGTCGGCTAGGGGTGTGTAGAACAAGGAGGGCCCTGGAACCACAGGGCTGGTGAGGAAAGCGGTTCCAGGCCAGGTGGAGTTTGGAGCCAGGTAGGGAGAACTTTTAATCAGAGTTCAGAGGTGGCTGTCTGAGCTGTGTGGACCCAGGGTGGGACAGCTCCAGGACCAGGGGCCTGATGATTCTTAGCATTATTCTACCCCCCCAACCCAACACACCCGCCCTGGGGTTCCCCTGGCCACACCCACCCAGAGTGAAGAAAGAGGCCATTGTCCCAGCTTCCCGGTCCCTCCCCACTGGGACAGGAACTGGGGAGTGACCCCCCTGCCCAGCCCCCCAGTCCTCTCCCCAAGCAGGTCAGGAGAGGGTGTGGCCCAGACTCCAGGACCCAGGAGCTCTGGGCAGGATTGAAGAGCATCAGTTGGTAACTGGCTGGTCAGGTTGGCAGAATTGGGGTAACTGTGAACTTGGGGCTCCCTGCCCTTAGGGTCTTGGCCTGGGATTGATGGTGAGACCAGGGCAGAAGGCCAGGGTCTTCAGAAGGGTTCAGACTTGAGCAAAGGTTGGAAAGTGGAATGAACCTGCCCCGCCCCGCCCCACCCTGCTCCACCCGGGCCTGGGGCCACATGGCCTCCTATCACAGGTGCCCCCAGTTCAGAGTTCTGCTCCCTTGATCACCCTACTCCCCACCTAGGGACAATTCCATTTGGCAGTCCAGAAAACTGAGGCCCAGAGAGAGCCCTGGCAAAGCCTCTTCCCCCACCTACTCACATAGCTCCTCTTGGTCTCCCACCCAGGGCCCCAGCCCCCATCCCATCTCTTGGCCCCAGAGCCCTGGGCCCCTGTGAGTCACACCAGAGGGTTGAGTAAGCGAGGCCTGTGGCGACCAGGGCTATAATTACCCAGCCGGGGTTCTAGGTGACGAAACCAGGCTGTTTCCGCCCCCGGCCCGCCTCGGCACTGCCCCTGGCCCGCTGTGCAGCTCCGAGCTAATCACTTCCCCTCTCTGAGCCTCCCAATACTGGGCCGTGGAAATCACCCTACATGGGTAGAAATCACCCTAAAGACAGGACACCCAGGAATCATGAGAGGGCTTCACAGCAGGCAAGTAGAAGGAAAGTCCTGGCAACTGAAGGAACCAATGGCCCATAGCTGGTAACAGACTCCATCAGGCCAGGGAGCAAGAAATTCCTTGCAGGCTGAGTTTTGTCAGCTCATGTGGGGGTGACAAGGTAGACACCACGGCTGTGGTCTGGTTCCAAACGACCTCTATTAAGAGCTATGGACAGGTTCAACTGGCTGAGTTCTCTAAGGTCACGACTATGCCTGAGGGAAAGCCCTGGAGCTTGGAGGAGCCCAGAGGAGGAGCTAGTGTTTGAGAAGGACTTCCTGGAGGGGGAAGGGCATTTGAGGTAGGGCTTTGAAGGATTAGTAGGAGTTCATTAGTGTGAGCATTAAAGATGAACTCAAGTCTGGTGGGCCTGAGAAGGAAGAGACCCCGAGTGGTTTGGGTGCAAGAGGCAGCAGCAAGGGACTGGTTAGATCATAACCTGGATTTCAAAGATCCATGGATATAGGCTGGCACCAAGTAAGAGAAATGCCACATGGGCACATAGTGTAATTTTTAATATTCTGGATGCCACATTTAAAAACAAGAAGAAAAAGAAACAGATGAAATTGACTTAAACCGTTTACGTCCTGTATGGAAAATCCTCCAAATAAATCCAAATCATCATAGTTGTAGCATGCGATCAGCATATAGAGTTATGAATGGGCTGTTTTCTGGTCTCTGTTGTGTATTGTTGTTGTTGTTGTTAAGTGCCGTCGAGGCGGTTCCGACCCATAGCGACCCTGTACAGGGTTTCCGAGGGTGTAAATCTTTACGGGAGTAGAAAACCTCCTCTTTCTCCCACGGAGCGGCTGGTAGTTTCGAACCGCTGACCTTAAGGTTCGCAGCCCAATTCATAACCACTACGCTACCAGAGCTCCTCTGTTGTGTATTAGGTGTTCAGAATCCTTAGGTGTCTTTTGCACTTGCAGCGTCTACCCCATCTAGTCTGGGTGTATCTCATGGGCTCAGAAGCCGCTGGTGGCCACGCTTGACAGTATAGCACTTGCCGGTCGGAGAACTAGGGGCAGCCAGGAGGGCCTCTCTGATGAGGTGACATTTGAGCTGAAATTCGATCATGATGAACTGGTAGGAAAAAATGTTCCAGGCAGCGAGGAGGAGGGCATGTGCAAAGGCCCTGGGGTAAGCTTATGCTTGCATCTAGGAAATCAGTGAGGTAGAGGGGAGCACAGCAGATGGGAAGAGACAGTTGGGGTCTTGGTTACTAGGGTGACAAAGTATTCCCATTTGCCCAGGTCTGAGGGGGTTCCCAGGACTAGGGACTTTCAAGGCTAAAATTGGGGAAGTCCTTGGTCAGTCTGTCCGTCACCGCATGGGACGGTTGCAGATCCCAGAAGGTGGATTGCTTGACTAGTCCCCTTGAGTATTTTCAGCACCTGGAACAGAGCCTAGTATGCAGCAGGCATTCAATAAATGTCCATAGTATGATTGGCTGATTGTCGGCCTCACTTCACTCTTTCCAGGGCGGAATCCCTGACAGAAGTTAGTCCGTGGTAACAGGGATAAAGGGATAAAGGGAGCCCTGGGGCACTGTAGGTTAGCTGTTGGGCTGCTAACCTCCGGGTCAACAGTTTCTCTGTGAGAGAAAGAGGAGGCTCTTGTCTCCTCTATAAAGATTTACAATCTGGGAAATCCTATAGAAAATCACCATGAGTTGCAATTGGCTTAGTGGCAGTGGCTTTGGTTTGGTTGGAAAGAGGAGCTTCAGTTGTGCTTAGGCTAAGTAAGCACAACTCCTAGGAGCACAATTCTCTTCTGATCCACACAGGATCACTGTGAGTTACAGGTGTTGTAACAGCAGCTGGTGGCTGGTGGTTTTTATGGATCACAACAGTGAGGCCCAGAGAATTTCAGCCATTTGCCTAAGGACACACAGCAACCTGGGTCCAAGACTCATTTCAGTCTTCCCAAGGGTCCTAGTTGCTGCCACCAAAACACTCACCCGCCCCTGCTCTTCCCCATTTCCTGGCTTGAACACCGAATGCTCAGCCTCTCAGGAAATCCCTCAGCTACTGTCCTACCCCCAAAAGTCACCCTAGGAGTCTCCAGATGACTCAGATAAGATGCTTAAGCTTTACTCTCAACTATAAGGTGGACTTCTAGTGTGGTGCTGTAGGATAAACACTGCATTGGGAACCACAAAGTCAGCGGCTCAACTCCACCAGCTGCTCCTTGGACACCTTATAGAGGGTCACTCTGAGTTGAAACCCACTCAACGGCACTTAACAACAGCAGTCAGATGAAAGGCCAGTGTTCACACCTACCCAGAGGCACCTTAGACGACCTGGCAACCTGCTCCCGCTGAAATGGCAGCCCCGGAAACCTTTGGGGCAGTTCCTCTCTGGTGTGTGGGGTCACAGTGAGTTGGAATCCGTTACGGCACTAATAACTAATAACCAGATCACCAGGCCTTTCTTCCACAGAAACTCTGGGTGAGTTGGAGCCACCCATCTTTTAAGTTAGCAGCTGAATACTTAAATTGTTGGTCAGACCGGGGCTCCTTTTCTGCCTCCTTCCCCAAAGTAAGGAGTCCTGAGGTCACTGTGGAATAATAGGCTTTAGGCTGCTAAGTACAAGGTTGGCGGTTCAAACCCACCAGCCACTGGATGGGAGACTGAGGAGGCTGATTATTCCTGAAAAGATTTACAGTCTCTGAAACCCAATATAGGGTCCACTATGAGTTGGACCTGACTTGATTGCAGCCGGTTTGGTTTTTTGGTTGTTATCCCAAAGCGGTTCCCGAGGTGTTTCTGCAGTTGCTCCTGGGACTGACTGACTTGATTTCCTTTGGGTGTGTCCCTGGGCTCTGTATCGAGTGGCAGAGGTCCTCAGGCCACTGATCGCCCCTCCCTGCCCCCCCACCCCGGTCCCCAGGCAGGACAAGCTTAAGGTGCACATGCGGAAACACACGGGCGAGAAGCCGTATCTGTGCCAGCAATGCGGGGCGGCCTTCGCCCACAACTACGACCTGAAGAACCACATGCGCGTGCACACGGGCCTGCGCCCCTACCAGTGCGACAGCTGCTGCAAGACCTTCGTGCGCTCCGATCACCTCCACAGACACCTCAAGAAGGACGGCTGCAATGGGGTGCCCTCGCGCCGCGGCCGCAAGCCCCGCGTCCGGGGCGGGGCGCTCAGCGCAGGCGGCGGGCCCGACCCCACCACCGCGGGAGGCCCCGCACCCCCTGGCACCCCGGCGCCCCCCGGCTCCCCCGACGGTCGGCGCAACGGTCAGGAGAAGCACTTTAAGGACGAGGAGGAGGACGAGGAGGAGGTGGGCACCGATGGCGTGGGCCCGTTGAATGTAGCAGGTGGTGGCGATGGCGGAGGAGGTGGCGGGGGAACCGCTGACGGTACCTTCACGGCCGGACTCGCCTAAAAACCAAAAAAAAAAAAAAAAACCAGAAACCCGAGAGAGAGAAAAAAAACCACCCCCCGAAAAACACAAAAAAAGAAAATCTATATACAGATATCTATATCTCTATATATATATATACAGATATATATATATGAAACATCACAGAATTTAGGATAGCTTTTCTTAGATTTTTCTCCTTTATGATGTTTTCTCCTAAACAGGGACCCTCTTGCTCCTGGCCTCCCTCCGCGTCGTTGGGTTTCAGGGTCCAGTTTGGGGGTTTTATGACACAAGGGTTTTCAGCTTGCCCCCATCTGGGCCCCCAGCGTAGGGTTTGGGGGCCCCGTCCCAGCCCACCCCATCCTGGATCCTGGGCTGGGGTGAGGCTGGGCCCCAAGGGGAGCCCAGAGATTGGGGTAATCGCTTCTTTCCTCCGCTCGCTGGTTTCTACGAGTCTTTTAGACAAGACCTTAAAAATGCTTTCTGTCTGCTATGAGCGGACGTTAAAATGGCCCCATCCCCGACCCCCTACCCTCCTTCCTCAGGGCACTTATTGAGGGGGGGTCTCCCCCCTCCCCGCGATCTCCCAAACGGCCTCCCTGACTCCCTTTCCTGCCTCTGGCCTCCCACCCCCTCCACCTTCCCCTCCACCTCCAGGCCACTGAGACACAAATCTATTTATTTCTTGGCCTGAGTGAAGGGGCTAAGGCTGGGGTGGAGGGGGTGCCCCCACCAGGATGGCTCCCCAGGGGTCCCGCCACCTCCATTCATGGCACTTACAACCCGGCAGGACCCCTGGGAACCAGCCCCTGGGATAGCTCCCTTGAACCCAGGCCACCTGGGTCCCCACATGATGTTTGAAGATTCAAAACGTATGTCTTCTCCCTCTTCTTTAGCCCTCTCCTGATTTTTAAAAGCACTTTTTAGATTTTTTTTCCCCCCTCTTTAACTCCTTAAAGACAAAATTTATATATAGATATATATAGATATATATATATAATATACTTTTCCTCAGAGGAGCAAGACAGCCAGGTGAGGTGAGTGTAGCTGAGAGCAAAGGAAACCCAGGATCTCAGATATGGTAAGAATGGGCCACAGGAGAGGATGGGAGAAAAGTCTAGAAGTTCCAATGCCACAAAAGCAATAAAAACAAAACAAGATTTTACAAAATGAAAAAGGTAAACAAAATAGACAAACCAACCACATTTGAAGTCTTGGCACTTTGTCACAGAACGGGTACTACATTTTATCTGAATTCTTAATTTAAAAACATGTTTACAAGTTACAACCAACTTCTATGAAAAGTTGAAAATACAAAAAAAAAAAAAAAAAAAAAAAGAGAGAGAGAGAGAAAGAGAGAGCGAGCAAAAGAAATTCCTAAAAGTCGATTTATTTTTGTATAAAATAATAAAAAGGAAACCCACCACAAATGTAGAATCCACTTCTGTTCCCCAAGGGGTGGGGAGGGGTCAGGTAGGGTTTGGGAAGGGCCCAGAAAAGCCACCTGAGATGACAGGAGTTCACCGCGGAAGCTTGATTTAAGACAGACTGTGGGGTTTTTGTGTTCTGTGTTTTCCCTGCCCTCTCATTTTGTTCTCTTTTGCTGTGGTTCCTGACATGGAGAGATCTTCTCCCCTGTTAGCCATGTCATTGGCCGTCTCTGTCGATGGGGACCCTCCTTACTCAATTCCCTAGCTCAGGGATGGGCCCGAGAGAGGGCTGGCCTTCCAACCAGCCAGAGCAATCCAATCCAGACCCACCCTTCACCCCCATCCTCACTGCTCCCCCTCCTCTTGCCCACTCTTGGACTTTCTTCCAACATGGCTGCCCTATCATGTGGCCACCAAGGAGCTGCCATCTTGGATGCGCCATCCCCATAGAGGTGGGCCACGGAGGGAGCCCTACCTCCAGGGCCTTACACCCGACCCCGACCCCCCTTTTTACTCAAAGGCACTGACTGTATTCTGGGGGCTGGTACCTGCTTCCCCCAAACCTCTGGCTCCCAAAAGGCCCGGTACTGACCGAGCCTCAGGCCACGGACATGGGCCAGGGTTGGGGAGATGATGTTTCCAGATGCCAGGGCGCCCTCACCCCAACACCCTCTTGCATATGCAAATCCTAACGTGGGACCCTGTAAATAGACCCTCTGCTAAACTGAGACATTCTTGTCAAAGCCCAAAAGGGGGTGTCTACTCCCCGCCTCAGTCACCAGCCCTTCTCCCCACGCCCAACACGTCTTGTGTTTTTCTTTTGATTTTAAAGGGAAGCTTTTTAAGAAGGCAATTTTCATCATTGTATCTACAGGATTGTTTTCTTCTCCTTGGCCATTCAGACTCCCCTTCTCCATCCTCCCAAATGTCTCAGGATCCCCCCATCCCACCCCCACCCCCCTGGCCCAGCAGAAGGGGCAGGTCCAGGCCCAGGTGGCCTTGGGCTCCCATTGTCATACCTTAAGGTTACCGGGTGAACTAAGTTTGAGAGCTATACCTGGAGGCTGAACAGGGAACCTAACAACCCCTGGCTGCCTCCCCCCAACTCCCAGAGGTGCCCTGAGGGGAGACCCCTCTTTTCCTCCCACCGAACTCTCCTTGCAATAAAACCAATTGAAAATCACAAATGTCCTGGCCAGTGGGGGCGATAGGACTTGGGGGATAGAGCCCTCTGCGACTGTGGTAGAAACCAGGGTTGCAACCTCCCAGGCAACACTTTTAACACAAACCTCCTCGGGAATTGCACTAAAACCCTTGCCCCTAGCTCCGCGCTCAGCTTCCGCCAGCCCCACCCCCTCTCTGCCTTAACCTCTCTCCTGTGGGCTGTCCTAGGGGCCACAGCCCCTGCATGGGCCCAGAGCCGGGACCCCTTCCCCCTCCCCAGCCTCATCCCGCCCCCCCTCCACCCCCGCCCCAACTCCGCGCAATCACATACTGTATATAGACATGGATTGATTTTATTTTTATTCTTTAAATTAAGGTCGTGATAAAGTGTTGCCAAAGATACTGCTGAATTCTCACGTTTCAGGAAACAAAACTGTTGAGGGGAAGGGCTGTCAGGACAGAGCAAAAGGTGGTTTTTTTTTTGTTTGTTTGTTTGGTTGTTTGTTTGTTTTTTTGGGGGTTTTTTTGTTTTGTTTTTTTAACTGCCTGGTACAAAAAAAAAAAAGAAAAAAAAGAAAAAAACAAAATTGTTATTTCCATTCATCATTGTGATGAACTTGCGTGGATGTTTGTGTGCGTGTGTGAAGGGAGGGTGGTCCAGGCTCCCCCAACTGCAGGCGGGGGCTGGGGGGTGGGAGGTGGGTAGATTAGTGGGGGCTGGAGCCCTCGTCTGCAGCAGTGGTCAGCCAGAGGGGCCCAAGAGAGCGACATTCTTGCTCTAGAAGCTGCTGCTCCAATTGCCTAGGCGCCCCCCCAACCCCCAACCCCCCCCCCCCGCCATTCCCCTCTCCTTCCCCCGCCTTTTGAGATTAAGGGAAAACAATTTTTATTACAACTAGTGAATGTAAAATGCCGGGCCGGGCCTGGCCTGGTCCGGGTGTGGCCCTGTGCCCAGCTGGGCGAAACCAAAGTCAGCCCCTCAGCGACTGCCCGGGAGACCCCACCTGGCTGGCTAGTCTTGTGATCTTGTTGCTACCGCCCTTTGGGGCTCACCGACAGGAGGGAAGGACCCCCAGCCTCTTCCTCCTGGAAGATTCCTTGCACTCCTCAGACCCTCCGCCAGAGCAGGAGCTGTGTGTTGCACATGGAGGAAACTGAGGCAGGGGCTAGAGTCCTGTCTCTCCCCCTACCCCCTATTACTGAGATAGAGCTGACAGCTGAAATTGTAGGAGGCGAGGTGGAGAGACTGAAAAGACAATTAAAAAAAAAAAATTAAAAAAAAAAAGAAAAAAGAGAAAAAGAAAAAAAAAGCGCCCACAAATCCTATTTTTTTGAGAAAGAAAGATATTTATATTTGCAGTTTTATTTTAAAAAGTTATTTAAGCTGAAGAAGCAGCCTTCCCGGAGTGGGGTCAGGGAGTGGCTGGTTAGGACGGGTCAGGTGTCTAAGAGCTCAGGCGTTCCAAGAGCCACAACCTCAGAGTGAAGACTAGCTAGCATTAAATACATAGATTTACATTGGGGGTGGGCAGGGCCAGGAGAAGGACGGGGCTGGGGGGCCCCATCTGCCTGTGGACTGGAGGGGGGTCCCGAAACCCAGATCCTCCACCCTAGGCCTGGACTTGAGGTGCCTTGGACTTTGGGGGCTTAGGCCTGGCAATTGGGGGGGGGCTGGGTCAGCGCCCGTGGGGGGGCCACAGCACAGAGCAGACATTCCATAGATTGTATTTGAGAGTCTTTATAACGTGTGGGAGATGACAAAAATAAATTGATAAAAATGCACTTTTTGGGGGTGGGGGGGAAGCTTTAAAGTAATAAAAATTAAAAAAAAAAAAAAAAAAAGAGACAAAAGTTGATGAAAAACCAGAAAAAAAAACCAAAACCAACAACCATTTTTCTTGTACATAAAAACCACTAAAATGCAGCCTGTTACGACCGCTGCTGCTTCATTTGCCTGATTTTGCTGTTGTTTGTGTTTTGTTGGGGGGAGGCTGGGGAGTGAGGGTGGAGGATTGGGGGGAATTTGCCCCAGCAGCTCTGAATACAGCATAGAAGATTCTTCTAAATCCTGGGGTTTGGGGTTCACACCACTTGAGGCCCTGAGACAACCCTAAATTCATCCAGCTGCGTGGGGGGCGGGGAGACACTGTTGAGGGTCTGGTGAAGGGATCCAGGCTTCTGTCCACCCAGTCCCTTGGGAGTGGGGGTCTTGGAACTCTAGCCCTTGAGGTCCCCAGGGAGGGGATAGCTTGGGATTGGTGCACAGGGAGAACCCACTGAGCAAGTTGTGCTCAACATGGAATGTAAAGCCTGGGCCTGGGTCACCTTCCTCCAACCCAGTGTTTCCAGAGGCCACGGCCAGGGAAATGATTAAGGTTCTAGAGCCAGAAACCTGAACTGGCCACCCCACCCAGCCAGCCTTCGTGGAGTCACCAAACACAGCCACCTCCACTGCCCCGTCCCTCAAGTCGGTTGCGCCATGGCCTGAATATAGTGTGTCCAGACTAGCTAGCCCAGGGTGTGGGTGAAGATTCAGGTTCAGCTCACTGATCCCCAATAGGGACTTGCATAGCTAAGCTGGGCTGTAGCCACCACCCTCCCCTATGTCGGTCTCCCACCCTGGCAGGGGGAGAATCCACTGGGAACCTGAGTTTATCCTGTGGGTTGGCCCCAGGGCTTGGAGAGGAAGTCTTCCTTCTCACCGGGACAGCCATCATGGCTTTTGGAAAGGCCAGGTGCTGGCTGCACTCAAGGATTTGAACCCTGATCTTCATCAGAGAGCTTGGGAAGCTGAGCAATCACAGGACATTGGTGGTGGGTGAGTGGGTGGGAGGAGCAGGATTAGCACCGCCCCCTTCACAGCACCTTGTGTCTAGATAGACCTCTCATACCTTTAAAATGCATCCAGACCACAAAGTTAAAAGGTTGAAACTTGCCAGGAACCAACTTGACAGCACTTCCATGTTCAAGTGATGCCGTGCCTGCCACGTACTACCGTTTTTTTGTGTACATAAGATTATCATTGGCAATAAGTACCACATACAATGTTGTAAGAAATACCTGTACATTTCATGTAATGTTTCCAGCTCCAAAGACAAAGATCGGGTTTATAAAGCTACTGATAATAAGCCATTTACAAATCATCGGGACAGAACCCCATCGTTGTGACCACCTGCACATTCAGAGATGGGCAGCCAGTAGTAGTACCATTGTCTGACCGCAGAACCCTCCTCCCCACAAAAAGCAAATTAAAATGTTAAAAAGGAATCCATTAACGGTCCCTCAATTCCCATTGTCCTCAAGACCCAGGTAGCCACCAATCTACTTTCTCGTCTCTCTGGATTTGCCTGTTCTGGACGTTTCATATAAATGGAATCAAACCAAACGTGTCCTTTTCTGTCTGCCTGCCTTCACTTTGCATGTTTCCAAGGTTCGTCCATGTCACCATGGATTTCATTTCTTTCTGGCTTGAGTGTTATTACTGTGGCTGGACCACATTGTGTACCCATCATCTGGCTCAACAGTGCAGCAGTGAACATGGGTGTACACATCCGCGTCCCAGCTTTCAATTCCTTGGGGCAGAATTGCTGGGACACATGGTCGGTCATTCTAAGGAACTTGGTGGTGCAGCTAACGGAAAGGCTGCCGGTTCAAAGCCACCTAGCAGCTCCTCGGGTAAGACCTGCAATCTGCTGTCCTTCTCTGTTGTGAGTTGGAACCAACTCCACAGCTCTGCACCACCAGCAATGTACAAGCGTTTATTTCTCCACAACCTGAACATTTGGAATTATCCTTTTAACTAAGGCCATCCTAGTGTGGCCACCTGGCACCTCACTGGCTTTGATTTGCATCTTCCTGATGCTGAGGACATTAAATTTCTCTTGTGGAGGGTGGGGGGAAAGAGGCGTCCCAGGGAAGCTCTGGCTCCAGATTGAATTCCTTGCTGGGCCTAAGCCCTCTACCTGGGTTCCCAGCTCAGCAGACAGACACTGGGTCCAGGTGTTCTAGTCAAAACTGGACACATCACTGTGCCTGTTTGAATCCTTTGAATCTTGTGGAGGAAAGGGAGAGAGGAACAACACCCCCGTTCCCTGGGGGCAGTCGGCCCCCAACACTTTACAATAAAAAGGCAGAGGCTCAACACCTCACTGGTTTTGCCGGGGACCATTTTTATTTGCATTTTTAAAAAACAATTAAATTAGAATACAAATATTAGAAAACAGTGGCCCTCGGCTGCCCAGGCGGGCGGGGGCCGGCCTACGCCGCCAAGTTCAGACCGTGAGGCCGAGTCTGCCCTCCGCTGGGTTCTCATCTTTTCTGGAGACCTGAAATGGTATTGCTTCGGGACTAGAAGGGCGCAGTCGGCACAGAGGGCACTCGTCCTGGGGTAGGGAGTAGCGGCGGAGAAAGCAAAGCAGATTCAAACGGTGGGCGGGTGGTCTGGAAACCGAGTCCTGCTCCCGATACCTCTGGGGTTGCGATGGCTGGGTGGGGGGCCAGCACCCAACTGCGGGGTCCTGGAGGCCGGGTTGGGGGGGGGCAGTGCAGAGGGGCTCCCGATGCCAGGTTGGCCCGGTCCTGCTGGAAGACAAGAGTGAGGGTCCCGGAGAGGGGGTGCCGGACAGACCTCGTACCCGTCTGAAAACCCAAGAGCAAGAACGAAAAGGAAGCAACCCAAGTGAAGGGAAAGAGGAAGAGGTTCCCCGCTGTCCCTTATGGGGGCCAGGCTGTGCTGGGGGGGGGGTCTGCACTATTCCATAGGGAAGTTAACCTGAATTGGAGTTACCGAGGTAGCTGACTAGAAAACAGACATCCCCCCTCACCACACGGTGCCACCCCATGGGGTCCCCAAAGACCGAGTTATTGCACTTTCAAAAAAATACAACCCATCTGTGGCTAGACCCGCCCCTGCACCCCCAGTCCTCCACAACCCACCCAATCATCCCCAATTCCACCACCCCCCGCCCCACCCCACCCCCACTCCATGGCTTCTTGACTAAAACAGCTCGCTGCTCGCGAGGCTTCGGGCGAGGGGGTCATGTTTGCAGAGAGAAAAAAAGCAAAAAGGAACCGACGAACAAAGATGGCGCCTCGGCTGTCACTAGGGAGGGGCGCCTATTACCAGACCAGCACCCCAGGTCCCCCGGCACCAGCTGGAATGGTCGTCGGTAAAAGGAGAAGCGGTTCTGGAGGCGGGACATCAGGAAGGGTCCCCACCAGCTCAAGTCTTCGCTGGTGGCTCCGGGTCTGGCCTAGGAATCAGCTTCTGGAGGGCAGTTCACCTTGTTTGTAAGTTTCATTCTGTGTTTGTTTCATTTTTTTCTCCTCTTTTGTACTTCCTCGTTTTTCTTCCATCATTTAGCTTTTTTAATCCTTTGCTAGGAGTTCAGAGGTCCAGGTGCTGGGGGCCAGGGGCTAGGGTCAGGGCAGAACCACCAAAGGAAGGACAGTGGAAAGAACACGGGCCTCCGGCAGAGGCCTGCCTGTGACCGCCTTCTGCATGGTCAGCACCAGGAAAGTAGAGTGTCTGTGACAGCGGTCAGCAGGCCGACACCAGGCCCTTCGGGAAAGGGCAGCGGCGCTTGGGCCGGGGGCCTTCTTCATCTTCCTCCTCTTCATCTTCTTCCTCCTCTTCTTCCTCCGATGACGATGACGAGCTATCCAGCGTGAGGTCCACCACGTCCGTGCTCGGCTTCCCATTCTCAACACCACTGACTACACTGCTCCCGCCGCTTGGGCCACTGGCCACGCTGCTGCCACCCCCACCTCCGTTGATATTGGGGGTGGAAAGGAGCCCATTGGCATCCGACGGGCCTGCGGGGACAGAAACGGAGAGCCTTCAGGCTGGTTCCCGGCCCACAGTGGGGAGATGAGGGGAGACGAGGGCAGCATGGACCCAGGGGAGCTAGGACAGAACGTCTCTCCTCAGCCTCACAGGGCAGTACACAGCAGGTACTCAATAAAGGAACATCAAGCCAGGAGAATTCCCAGGTTCAGCCTGTCGCAGTTGGGGGTGGTAATCAGTAACCACTGCTACAGCCATCCCATCCCCAGCTGTGAACTGGGGAGACCATGCACACTGTGGATTGGTAGACCATGGACTGGGGACCCTGTGGATGGGAGGGCCACCTGTCCTAGGGTGGGAATGTCTTAAATTGGGATACCAAACTGCAGAACAGAAAGTGAGACCACCTTGGGGAACAGTAAACCTGGGTCTAGGATCCCCAGGCCTGAGAGGAGGGTCTGCCTGGCCTCCCAGTCACCAAAGACCAGTGTAGGGACAGGCCGAAGGGGGGATGCAGGGGCTGGATCATTACACACCACAACAGGGAGGGGGCAGAGCTCACTGAGGACCAGGATGGAGGGGGGCGGGGGGAGCACTCACCGAGGACCAGGATGGGGCACTGGGGGCTGCAGCTCCTCTCCTTTTCCGCACGGATAGGGCACCAGGAGCCATCGGCCAGGAACTCGATCTCATCTGTGTCTCCGCACTCACTCAGAATCTTGGAGAGGAGCCTGGGGGCGAGGAGGGGCCACCTGACTCATCCCCAGGCGTCCCCAGGTCTGCAGGCCCGCTCTGACCCCAGCAGCTTTAGGAGTCCTGGGGTTCCATCAGTCATGTACAGTGTCATGGGGCTCAGGACCTCATCCAGACCAAGCAGCAGCCACAGTGCCAGACTGAGTGTCCTCTATGTGTCCCCTCCACCTCCCCACCCCCAGGCTCCGAGTCTCTGTCTCTTCAGGCAGGACACCAGCGGCAAGGTGGAGTTCAAGGACTCAGACTGGCGTGAGGCCAGGCAGGGGACCTGCCTATGTGGGCACACTGCCCACTGGTGAGGGACAAGACCATCTCATGGCCACTGGGCCTCAGTCCACACAAAGGACACAGGATCAGCTCCATTTAAACGGGGACATGGAGCCTCGCGCCCCTCCCCCACCATCTGGAGACTCCACCTGGCATGGGCATTACCACCTGCAGAGTGGGTCCAGGGTCCTAGTGGCTGTGAGGACCCTCCAAGTCAGCCAGACTCAGTGTCCAGCCCTGGGCACTGACCTTCTCCATCAGAGCCAGACCTGCCTCTAGCTGCTCCCCCACCTCCATCACACTGGCAGCCCCGGACACAATGCCCAAGGTCACCGAGCTCCTCAGGTCGCCTCTGCCTGCAATGGCTTCCGCACCTGGCAAGCTCCAACCTACCTGCCTGCTCCCATAGGAGCACCTGTTCTGGCTCTCTGCTCCCCACACCTCTGGTGCCTGCGGTAGAGTCCTTTAGGGGATCCCGGGAATCCGTGTGTGAATTCAGAACACTACCTTCAGGGAGCTTGCCTGGCTGCCCAGGTCAGTGTAGGGCACAGCCCTGGAGGAGCAGGGCAGCTGCCACCCTGACCAAGTGCCCACTGCAGGCCTACACGAGGGAGGGGGTGGGCTCGCAGCTGCCAGACCAGGAACAGAGCGGCCTTTCAGGGGCCTCCTCACACCACCGAGGCTGGGTAGCAAAGGGAGCGGCTTGGCCCTTCGGGGAGCAGATCCAGACCTCAGTTCAAGTCCCTGGAAGCTGGGGGGGGGGTTGGGTTCAGGCTGGCAGCCGGCCCCAAGCCTCTATCTCATCTGTGAGTGGGGGTGCACCTCCTGAGAAGGCTCTGACATGTCCACCCACACCCTGGGCCTGGGCCTCAGGTCCCCGGAGGGCCGAGTCAGGAGCTGTAAACTCGGGAGTCCGGGGCGTGGATCCCTGAAGCCCAAGGGACAACTCCCCGGTGCCCAGAGGGCTTCCTCCACAAGTCCTTACATTGAGTCCTTACGTCAAGTCCCCTGCCGGATGGTATAGGGGACAGCCTGGGCGGCACTGCTACTGGGGTCAGAACTTTTGAGAGACAGCTGTCTTTCCTACCTGAAGGGACAAGCCGCTTCCCTGGCCTCACAGTAACCACAAGGCAGGGTGCGGGGGGTCCTGCTTCTCCAAGGAAGCTTAGCGCAGCGCTAAGTACCAGGCCTGGTCCAGGCCCCTCAGCCACATCTCTAGGAGCCGTGGGTTCCCCAGCTCTGGGGTCTAGACCCACCTGTGAGAACACTGAGGTCCCAGCAGGACCATCTGAGACCCATGGAAAGTGAAAAGTAACAAGACCCCTGGTGTGTGCCCCGTGCCTGAAACTCACCCATCGATGATGAGCTGGTCGTAGGGGGCGGGCTTGTCGCACACAGGGCACATCCAGGTGGGCTTCTTCTCGTTCATCTGGAGGTAGAAGACGGCATCGAAGCACTGCAAGTGGGCACAGGTCTCCGCACGGCAGGGCACTGACAACCGCATCTTCACCAGCTGCAGGGGACGGGGCAGTAAGACAGGCCCTGGGCTTCTGCCGGACTGGCCCCACCCTCAGCGAGACCACGGACAGTGTGGGGGACAGGAACAGGGGGTGGGGGGTCACCGCTCATTGGGCAGATGAGGGAGACCACGGACAGTGTGGGGGACAGGAACAGGGGGTGGGGGGTCACCGCTCATTGGGCAGATGAGGGAGACCACGGACAGTGTGGGGGACAGGAGCGGGGTGGGGGTCACTGCTCACTGGGCAGATGAGGGAGACCCGCACGCCTGTGGTGGCGATCTCGCTGTCGGGGTCCAGACGCAGCTTCTCTTTAACTGTGGAGAGGGGCAAGGGGACACGCAGTCCGTATGATCGGACAACTACCTCCCAGACACTCAGGCCCCCGGCCCCTTCAGGATTGCTGCTGCGGCTCCCCAGATACAGGGCGCCCCTCCCTGCCTCTCAGCGCTCCCACCTCCTCTTTCTGCACCTCCAGGGACACTCCAGCGAGTCATAGATCAGTCACTCACATCAACTATGAACTACCAAGGGTTTTCAAAAGTTGCTGGAAAAACGTAATTAAAAGATAATGGCATTCAACACGACTTTCTGATGCTCCATGCTACTGTCTACACCGTGGCTCCTGCTCTCTGATTACCACGTACTAAGGAGCTCTGATAGCGTAGTGTTCACGAATCAGGCTGCGAGCCACAAGGTCAGCATTTCGAAACTACCAGCCGCTCCGCGGGAGAAAGATGAGGCCTTCTGCTCCCGTAAAGATTAACAGCCTCGGAAACCCTGTTCAGGGTCGCTATGAGTCGGAACCGACTCCACGGCACATAACAACAACAACAACAACAGTGGCCCCAAAGGTCCTGAGCATATCAGTCATTCACACCTGGGTATGAACTAGTATATACCCCTTGGGTCCTGGTGTCTGGTTAGCAGGTGCTATCAGTAGCTTACTGAACTTCACACAGTTGGTCCTGGGCCCACCTCCCTCCTCAGAAACCCAGACAGCAGGACCAGGTTAAGTAAGACCAAGAGCAGCCCTTCCTGACTGGAGAGACAGGGGTAGGTATGGTGTGGAGAGGCAGGGCCTGGGTCCATTCAGAGAGGACTACTGGCCCTCCAGCCCTGGAAGCTATTAGAATTTGCTGGGAATGCAGGGTAAGGAGGAGTGAGGCCAGGGCCCACGTCAGCCCTGCCTGACCATGGCTGCATTAGTGGCCACCTGGCTGATCAGTCCACCTTCTTCAGTCAGGATCACAAGGTCCCCAGGGAGAGGCAGGCGGGTGGGGGCCAAAGAAAAGGCCCTTTGAGAGGAGGGGGCAGCAGCAGGGCACAGTGCTGAGACTGAGGCTCTGAGCCCTAGCCTGCTGCTCTGGGTCCCCACGCCTCCAATGGGTAGGCAGAGGATCCCCCACGCAGTCCCTGAGCAGGAACCCCCTGTCGAGCCACGGGTAATGGGAGTTGGGGTTTTGTTCTGAGAGCCAGGTAGTCGGGGGCAGGCGGCCAGCTGTGAGCTCCCACCCACGAGACTGCACCTTTGTGCCTAGCATATCCTTCGGTTCACACTGACTGACTGGGAAAATCTGGTTTCAGAGACTGGAAGGGGAGGGAGAGGTGCCTAGGGTCCACAGCCTGGGCCTACAGCTATCTGTCCAGAGCCAAATCCCAAAGGGCTATCCTGCAGAAATGACCCCATTGTGTGGCGTGTCCACGCCCCAAGGTCTGGAACCACCCCTCCCATCCCCTGCCCCCACCCTCAGAACAAGCCCCAATCCCACTGCACTGACAGGGTCCTGTCTGCCAGGCCCCAGGACCTTTGCACCTGCTGTCCTGCTTCCTCCAGAGATTCCCAGATGATGCCCTAGGGCACACTGATGACAGCTGGGTCCCTGGAAACTCTTGAGTCCAAGGCAGCCCCCACCCCCCGAGGGACAGCTGGCTGGGTCGAGCTGTGACCATAGGTCAGAGTGCTTCACTTACCCAGGGCTTTGCACAGCTCCGGGTGTTTGACCCCGATGGTTTTCAACCTTTGTAGCAGCTCCGATGAGGTCAGCTGCCGTACCAGGTACAGGGCCACGGAATAACTCTGCAGTTGGCAAGGGGAGTGTCAGGGGTGGCAAGGGGCACACAGGGGTGGGACTGAGACCACCGGGCAGGGGCATACTCACCTTGCCATAGTTGCCCCAGGTCACGGTGATGCGGTTGGTGGCAGACGACAGGTACATGAGGTGGGTGAGGTTGATGGGCCGGCAAGGCCGCTTGGGCTCCACGCCTGGCTTGTTGGAGGGGTAGTAGCCCTGGGGGGCAGAAAGAAGGGACGGCGGCTCACCAAGGCAGGTATCAGAGCAGCCCCCAGCCCGCTGCCCCTCACAGCAGACATTCCAGCACACCGGGGCCGGGTCGACTTACCGGGACGGAGCAGTAACTGTGGTTGACCTTGACGGCAATGTTGGGCGGGTACTGATCCTCCTGAGGACAGCTGGTGTCTGTGTAGCAGATTCTGCAAGAGCAGAAGGCCCCCCGGGGCCGTGAGGGCACGGACAGGCTGGGGGGCACAGGGTTGCTGCAGAAAGGGGGCTGAGGGGAACATAAGGTGGGGCGAGGACTGGAGGATCTGTGGGTATCAGGTGACCCCAGGCTTCTGACCTGGGGCACAGGCCTTGGTGGGATCCTCTATGGGGGAAGCAGAGGTGGGAGGACGGCAGGTACCTGGCCTTACCTCAGAACCACCTGCACGGCTTTGATCCCTGGCTGCAGCTCTCTGTGGAGAAACGTGGGGTCAGCAGCTTGTGGACAACTCTCCCCCCAGGGAAGTGAAGACCTTTCCCAGGTGATGTCCCTCCTCTCTCCTGGTGGTGCAGTGCATTAAGTGTTGGGCTGCTAACCGCAAGATCAGCAGTTCAAACCCACCAGCAGCTAGATGCCTGCATGGTAAAGACTGGCGGCCTCAGGAGCCCTATGGGACAGTTCTGCTCTGTTCTCTAGGGTCCCTGTGAGTTAGGGATTCCACTCAGTGGGGTAGGTTGGGTATCCTCCGCACTCAGGCTGTAGATTTCAATGGGGGTGGCACCCTAGGAGGTCAGATGATTATGGGACAGAGTTGCTTGGGAGGTCAGTAGGACCCCAGGTTCTTACCCTGGGTGACTCTGTCCCAGGGGAGACTGAGCAAGGCCTAGGAGCACCTGTGGTTGTCACCAGGCATGGGGAGACCTAGAGGAACTACTGGCATCCAGTGGGTGGAGGCCACAGATGCTGGTCAATACCCCACAATGCTTAGGATGCCCCGCCCCTGCCCATGTAGCAGTGTGGAAGGAGGGAGAACCCTGTTCAGGGGCAACCATCCTCTTTCTGGACACAGGTGGACATACTGGGCATGGGATATGGTTTTCTAGAGCGGTGACCCCCGCCCACCCCCTGTCCTGTACAGTGTGGAACCAGCATCAGTCGTGGGGGGCGGGGGGGAACTATGTTGTACCTGGAGTTCCGGATCAGCTCCACCTGCCTCGGCGTCAACGCGAAAATACATGGGCTCTCCTGAAGCTTCTCGCTGTTCTGTGGGACTAAGGGTGGACGTGGGGTCAATGCCAACTGACCATGGTGTTTGATACGATCTTGGAAGTTTTCATCATTTTGCCTGTTGTATGCTCTACCACATTCAAAGCTGTGTTTGCACTTCAGGCAGGGACACAGGAAACGGGGGGTGCGGTGCAGACCACCCTGGAGTGAGGGTTAGGGGTCAGGGGACTCAGCCTACCCTGCCTTGGTTCTCCTATCCCCACACCCCTTCTCGGTCTTGGAGACCTCAGGTGTCCACTGGGGTAAACGGACGGCTGATGTTGGCAGCACCCCCACCTCTGCCCCATGCATGACCACTACTGCCACTTGACCTTGATTCCGGGTGTGTACACCAGCAGTAGGTGAGAGGGAGTGTACAGCAAGGACACCTGAGGCGGGAAGGAGGAGCCACACACAAGCCAGCAGAGAGATCAGGAAGTGGACCCGGAACAGAACTCCAAAGTCCAACTGGAAAATAACAAGGGTCCTGAGAAAGGGCCGGAGAGTGTACGGCAGGCGAGGGGAGCGGAGGAAGACAGGGCACCTCCAGGAGGCACCCACTTGGTGCAGAGGTCAGTGGAAAGTTTTGCAGGGGAGGAGGCCCCGGAGGCCAAGAAGTCTGGTCAGTTCACTCTCTGAGGAATGTGAGCGGAGCCGACGGGTGCACTGAGATCACAAAGGCAATTAGAAAATGCTTTGAGCTGAAAGCAACAGTCCAGATACAAGGTAATGGGCCAGACACAGGCAACTGGCAAAAGTGGCCCAGCGGAGACAGAAAAGACAGAAAAGTGTCTCAGAAGCTAGGAGAAAACGAGCAGACTAAAGCCAAAGATGTTAAAAGGATGGTATTTTTCTGTCTTTCCATGCAAATGAAAGATTTCACATAAAAGGAAATAGAAGGCAAACAACGTAGAAAGTCAATCAAGCCAAAACTTTATCCTTTGATAAATACCTAGCCAGACTGTAGCGTAAAAATCATCAGGGAAAAACAAAGTTACCAGGGTCAGAAATGAAAGGAGGGCAATACTACGGTCTTTACAAAGTCACCGCAGACCGGTCTCTTAGCTCAACATGGGCGATAATGACCAACTGGACCCCAGTGCACTGACAGGAGAGAGGAAATCAACAAGTTCTGCCGTGGGGCAGACCCCCAGAACTGACACAGAAAATGTGGACCACTCTCTACTTGTTAAAGGAGTCAAAACCTTCCCACAAAGAACAATACAGAATTAGTGAGTTCCATCAAATATTTGGAGTCAGAATCAACTCCACAGCACAAACCCACACACACAATCTTTACAAAAGCAGTTCTTTCTCCCACCGAGTGACTGGGTTAATGCACTGGACTGCAAAGTCGGTTTGATCTGCAAAGTCAGTGGTTCAAGCTTACCACCCGCTCCTCAGAAACCCTATACAGAGTCACTATGGGTCGCAATTGACTCGACAGCATTTAACAACAACATCAAACATCTGGAGTCCTGGTGTGATGCTGCAGGAAATGCACTGGACCACAAGATTGGTTTGATTTGCAAGGTTGGCGGTTCAAACTCACCAGCCTCTCTTTGGAAACCCTATATAGGATTGCTGAGTCAGAACTGATTTAATGGCAACAATTACATCAAACATTTAAGAAAGAAACTATAAACTCTTTCAGAAAATAGAGAAGAAAGTTCTCAATTTATTTCACGAGGCCAGCATAACTAACTCTGTTACCAAACCCCTTCGCCAACAAGAGAAAATGACAGATAACTGTCTTTCATGGATACAGAAAGGAGCCCTGGTGGCTCAGTGGTTAAGCAGCTGGTTAACTAAAAGAACGGCGGTTCAAACCCACCAGCTGCTCCTCTGGAGAACGATGTGGCCGTCTGCTCTCATTAAGACTGGATAGCCTAGGAAACCCTATGGGGCGCTAGTCTATGTTTCAGCATTGACTCAATGACCAAGGACTTGGTTTTTTGTCTTTACGTACAACTCCTTAAACAAAATATTAGCAAATTGAACCCAGCAATACGTAGAACGGACACTAGATCATGTCCAGTGCATGCATCCCAGGAATGCAAGATGGGTTTGAAACGTCTACATTCCACTATATTGACTAAAAAAATTAGCAAGACCGACAACTCCAAGTGTTGGCAAGGACACAGGGCAACCGGAACTCTTACACATCGCTGGTGGGAGTATAAATGATACGGACATTCTACCCCATGACTAGCAGTCCCGAGGCTAGGCATTTACTCCCAAATAAATGGACACAGAGCCATAACAAATCTTAAAAATGAATGTTTATGGTACAACTCAGCCAAATGGCATAATACAGCTCACAAAATTCAGGAGCTGAAACCTCGCGAGAGGAGTAGCAAGTATCTTCTGAGCAGCTGTCAAGGATACAACTACTGGTCTCTACTTGTCTGGCGCACAGGAGAAAGAAGGGAAGCAAAGTCTCAGAGAAGACGGAGCCTACAGAGCTGACAGCCTACGAGAGCCACAGCCTCATTGACCCTGAGCCCAGCTGCCCACAGAGCCCTGGTGAAGCCCAAGATCATCAAAAAGAGAATCAAGAAGATCCATCACCAAAATTAAGCATGACTGGCGCCAGCCCAGAAGGCCTGACAACGAGGTGCAGAGAAGACTGCAGAGTGAGATCTCCACGCCCAACAGGGCTGACAGGAGCCAGGAGGGGACAGAAAACCTGCTGCCCGCCAGTGTCCACCAGGTCCACAGTGCCAAGGAGCCGGAAGGGCTGAAGCAGTGGAATGAATCACGAGGCCACCCTGAACAGAGCAGCTGGCCATCAGTCATCAGTCCCAGGGCCAGGCAGCATAGTGAAGAACATGAACAGATAGCCCGCGAGCAGCTTTTATTCGCCTAACTAAAACCAGAGGGGCTCCCTGATACACTTGCCGTAAGATCTCTTTAAACACCAAACAGGAACTACCCACTGAGGTCAGTTTTCAGTGAAATCACGTCTTGTTGTTGGTATGTGTCATCCAGTCAGTTCCGACTCACAGCAACCCTGTACAGGGTTTTCCGAGGAGAGGCTGGTGGGTCTGAATTGCTAGCCTTGCAGTTAGCAGTTCAGTGTTTATCCTGCAGCGCCACGCCCGGACATTATCTGTGAGTAAGGCGCTCTGGTAGTGTAGTGATTATGAATCAGGCTGCTAACCTCAAGGTGGGCAGTTCGAAACTACCAGCTGCTCTGCGGGAGAAAGATGAGGCTTTCTGCTCCTGTAAAGATTTACAGCCTCGGAAACCCTGTGCAGGGTCGCTGTGAGTTGGAACCAAATCCACGGTACTTAACAACAACAATAGGGTGCTCTGTAAAAAAAAATCTGTGCGGCAAATAGGTCAACAGTAATCTCAAACAAAGATAGGGGGGGGGGGTAAGAAAGCTAGAGTACCAGAAACGGAACAACCAGAATGCAACCACAGCGTCCACACACTGTAAAAAACGTTAATGACAATTTGTAAAGACAATGCCAAATGGAAGCCTAAATTTGCGGTGTAAACTTTCACCGAAAACACAGTATTTTTAAGAAAAATAAAATTTTAAGGTTACGGTAAATTCAGGGACCCTGGTGGTAGAGTACGTTAAGCACTGAGCTGCTGATGCTAAGTAAGGTCGGCAGTTCAAACCTACAAACCGCTCAAAGATGAGGCTGTCGGCTCCCAGAAAGATTTACAGTCTCACAACCCCTAAGGAGCAGTTCGACTGTGTCCTACAAGGTCACTGCGAGTCAGAACTGACCCGATGGCAGTGGGTCTGGTTTGGTTTCATGGCAAATTCATTCCTTAGAGTTCTAAACAGAAATCAACCTAAATGGAAGACAGACAGGAATCAGAACACCAGGTGCCTCACAGGGGTAGGTGGAGGGAGGGAAGGGGAGGACATCCTGGAGAGGGCCACAGGGAACTTGGGGCCCCAAGGGCAGCACTGCATTTGACGGGGGCACATGCACTTGATCAAACTCAGAGGAGACACTTAACGTCTGTGCATTTCACTGTGGAAAACACACGTCAAGTTTTAAAGACTTTAAACTTCACCAAGAAACCACGTGACTGGCAGATGGGAAGCGATGAGAAAGCCTGATGGAGACCGATGTGGGGCGGCAATCTGGGATGGGCTGTGTGTACTCCCAGCGACCCACGCGACAGAGAACTGCCTTGTGAAGTTTCCAGGCTGTTACCTTGACGGTAGGAACTCTGGTGGCACAACAGTTAAGTGCTTGGCTGCTAACTGAGAGGATGGCAAGTCAAAAACACTACTGGGCAAAACAAAACACAACACAACACAACACAACACTACTGGGCTCTGTGGAAGAAAGACCTGGAGATCTCCTCCCATCAAAAGGACAGTC